AAGGAAATGTTCATTTGTATAACTGTATTAAATGTGCTTGAACTGAAAGACATAATAAAGTATAAAATAAAAATAAAAATTCTCTTTGATTGCAGAGTATGTGAACCAGGACGTGTCATCTGACCGTCCCAGCACACTTCCACGCAAAGCGAGAGAGAGGAGATTCATTAACGGTCTTTATACAGGGAACAGTGTGGAGAACCCAGAGTACCTGGTGCCAATGCACAACATCTCACCCGTTTCACCCGCCTTCGACAACCCCTACTATCATGATATCGCAGCTAAAGCTCAGGCAGTCGCCAGAGCGTCCATAAACGGAGGTACGACTCACAGGCAGCCCAATGGCTACATGACCACCACAGCAGAAAACCCAGAGTACCTGGGCTTAGCAGAGACATGGAGTGGTCAGATGGAGTATACTTGAGAGGAATCATTCGGTACAGTTTGAGTGTAAGCGTGAGTGGTGAAGTTGTGTGCATGAGCGAGCGAGTGAGTAAAAGACATATTTTGTGAAGGACGTTCTCAATGGGAATGGTTTCTCATGGCTTTCTACTAAATTACCATGCAAATGTATGTAGCATTCTGTACTGGAGTTGGAATTTGAAGATTGGATGCATTTCCTTTTTTTGCCAAAAAAATCAGCTTTTTTTGCATCTGACAAATACATGATACATTTTTAAGACTGCTTGAATGATGTTAACACTGGATAATGTCTTTTGTAGCACACTAAGGATTTTTATTTGGATTTGGTCATCTCATAAAAACGTTACCTTTTCTGGAGATTCAATTCAATTCCAAACCAGGACCGTACACACTGCTTTCCAGAGTGCTGCGTGAGAGCCGGACACAATCAAAGCTGCTCTGTTCTGTTCAAAACGGCCCTGGGTGAGCAGCTATAGTGCCAGTGAATGAAAGACTGACATTATTGCCGTACGAAGCGTGCGTTGTGTGTTCAGCGACGCAGCTGGCTCTGAAGATTCATCAGCATTTCTCATCTGTGACATATCCAGGTATTCGCATTAGTTTGGGTATTTTTTTTAATTCCTTGTTTGAGCAATGACTATCTTCATTATGGGCTGGGTAACAGTTGTACAGATGTATGTAGAGCAAAGGGCGACCTTTTGGACAATTTTGTTCTTTTCAGTTTTGTTTTTGTGATCATTTTGCCTGTGTTGTTGCCAACTGCATAAATTTTGGCACAGGTGTGTATTTTTATTGGAATTTTACTATTTCACTTCCATTTTCTTTAATAAATCTGTTTTGCACTAGGTACAAAAAAATTTCCTCTCAGGACCTTAAGGACAAAAATGTCCCCATTGAAACCCATTAAAACTGCTATTTTTAATCGCAGTACCATTTAACTGTAAAATTATGCAATTTTTGTTGATAGGCTTTCATTATATTTGCAAGGCTTTAAAATTGAATTTTTTACTATTTTTTTTTTACCAGATGGTGCCTTTTTTCAGGTTTGACCTATAAAGAAAATACTCGCTTTATTTCTGATGGCTTTGATTTTCTAGCAGGTATAGAGTTCAACATGTTTCATAAAATATATATTTGATATAAAACATCGTTCATAAATAATTTTCATATACCTAAACATCTAGAACTTTTTTTTTTGGTTTCACTTTTTAAACTTTTTTTACTTCAGCAATTATCTGCCATGGGTCTTCTTTAAAATGAGACCAAACTTAACTCTGTGCTCCCAGGCTTCAAATTTTTATGACAGTTTTTGACATGGACATTTTTGTCCACTATGGACCTATGTGTAACTTTTTTTTTAATTGACGTACAAGGGTTAAACTATGTCACAATGCAAAACGTCTTACTAATACTGGTAGAATTAATTTTCTTTAGGCAAAAATTTGATTTTGATTTTGGGTTGAAATATGACCTGGATATATCTTGAGGTAAATATGTTTAAATATCTCCCTGTATTTTTTTTATTGCACGTTTTAGTTACCTACCGGACTTTCTTCTTTGCAGTGATGAATACAATGTGGTATTAACTGATGTGAATGGGCCCTTACTACCAGACCAACTGGTTTATTTGTAATAAGAGGTTTTAGTCAATGTTTAACCCCAGATGTGATCATTCATGTTCATAATGTCTATTGTTATTATTTTATAAGAACTCCTTTTAGGCACGACACCTCCTACTCATTTAAATTTGCCTCACATGCACGCAGAAACCAAAGTGTTTGCAAGCACATTGAAGGAACTTTTTAATCTATTAATGCCATGATTTTTACAAAAATATACACGTTGAGTGTTTAATATTGAATGTTGTACTTTTTTATATGCATATTGTCCAGATCTCAGCTAGTGGTTGAATGGTAATTGTAGACTTTTTGATGTAATAATGCTATTTTTCGTGTGAGCCGAGAGATTGTAAATATACTGTATACAATATGACTCTGAGAACTCTAATGGTACCAGTGTGCAAAAGTCTTTTGAGAGATATTTTAAACAGTGCTTCCTGGTAACCAGACTTTGCCAACTGGCTTAAATTGATTTCTATATTACTGGTAAAGAGGTACATTTTGAACAATCTCCTCACCTGCTTTTTATGTTATTCTACAAAACAATATTGTGAGATAATAAAAAGAAATGAAATCAAACTTCAATCCATGTGATTTCATGGCATCTAAAGCACAAACTCGTCTACTTAAATTATGAGTAGTTTTGACATTTGGCTTCTGAATATTTGGTAACATGACTGGACGCTCTAGGAAGTTTATGAATCAATGTTGGCATAACCTATTTAATATTCATGAGCTAAAATCAAATTTTTGTTAGTGTTATAAATATGCTTAGCAATCATAAGCTTAAGTTTTCATTATATTAGTTTATAAGTTGCCAGTTTACATATAAATTATCCTGTGCTAATTATTAACTGTTTACTTTCACTACGAAAGGGGTCATATTATGAAAATAAACATTTTAATTCATCTTTTGCTATACATAAGGTAGATATACAATGAAAAAATACTGCATCAGGTGTCCTGTCAAGTCCAAAAAGAGCATTTATTGATCCATCTCGATCTGAAATCTGTGACCTTGTAATGAATACATGAAAACATTGTCGATCTAATCACATGAGGAAGTAGAGAGTTATTCCTAAACACCAAGAAGATAATGTTCATGTTCAAATAATGATAAGAATAAGTCAGGGGATGTTCCGGCTTTTGTGATCTTATGGAGACAGTGCCACACAGAGGTCAGTGTCCAGCAGACACACTTTAGTTATGTGGATACAATTAGAGGTATTACATTTAAATGCATGCATATGAATTTCTTTAAAGGGGTCCGATTATGCTTTTTCACTTTTTCAGCTTTAGTTAGTCTGTAATGTTGCTGTTTGAGCATAAAAAAGATCTGCAAAGTTACAAAGCTCAAAGTCCACTTCAAAAGGAGATATTTTATTTAATAGAAATCACTTTTCAGAAACTACAATGAACGACTCGTTTGGACTACAACGCATATTTTCCGGGATTTGTGATATCACAAATATCGACGAATGGGACGAGACCTGGTTGAGCTGCACTAGAGAAGACAACGAGTGTTATCACTATGTCGGAGATGCGCTACCAAGGCAGACGAACTTCGAGTGGTTACAATCATCCGGGTTTAAATCGTGCTCAAATTGATTTGATTTTGATGCAATATTTAGACTGAAGCTCGCAGGCGGCTATGGTAAGGAGCATGAGATTTCCCGACCAGGCGCCGAGTGCTGCCAATCACAACACACACTGGCCCAGCTAACCAATCACAGCACATTTCGTATTTCAGAAGGCGGGCCTTCATTTGACACAGGAACTATTCGAGCCGTTCATGTCAGACCGGGGAGAGAGGTGTTGTAATAATGTAAAATATGTGAAAAATTATGTGTTTTTTGAACAGCCTAGTATGAGAGTCTGTTCTAGTACACCCCCAAAACAAAATCAAGACTTTATAAAAGAGCATAATAGGACCCCTTTAATGCAACTGCATAGAAATGCCTTAGCAACCACCCAGAACACCCTAATAAGTAGCATCTGCATAGCAACACCTTAGTAACCACTCATAACACCCTAACAAGTAGCATCTGCATAGCAACACCTTATCAACCACCCAGAACACCCTAATAAGTAGCATCTGCATAGCAACACCTTAGCAACCCCTCATAACACCCTAACAAGTAGCATCTGCATAGCAACACCTTAGCAACCACCCAGAACTTAAAACCTTCAAAACTTTTAAGACTAGGCTTTTTAAAGTCAACATCAAAGTTTGACTACAAACTTTTAATCAGATTTTAATTAATTTATTTTATTATTATCTGTTGAACTGCAAAATCTGGTAGATCTTTAAAGAACAGCATCCAGAATTGTCTTATTTCTCTCTTCATTTTAAGAGTAGCTTTTTCAGTAGTTTAAAGCAATATTTCCTTTGAGATCCTCAAATATCTAAACGCCTATTCTAAATGCATATTTTTATTCCTGTGAATATTTATCTTTAGATTTATTAAATCACTTTCTGCAAAGACAAGTCTTGACTGCATAAAAGGGATTGAACATTGTTTTAATTATAGTAAATAGACAGAATATTCCAGACATACAGAGGCATTATTTTGTTAGATTTGCTGTATCATTACAAAGGTTTATCAACTCTTGTATTATCCGTTTGCCGAGTTTCACTGCATATTGAACATGTCATTGATGGTCACTCACATTCATCTTGAGGTTTGAGATGCTTAAGTTGCAGCTTTTGTAGGATTTTGTCCTGTAGTGTTTGTATTTAAATGTTTGTTTAACTGTTAAAAAGACCAGCTTGAGATTTTACGCTGTTCTGGTTTAGTGCTAGTTTAGGCCTGTCCTAACTTATGGACTGCAGTGCTTGGTTTACCAAGATGGTCAAATTGCTTGGTATTCTTAGCATCAGTAGGGTATTTATCGATTGTGTTTTGATGGGTTCTCATTATTCTGTTATGATAAGCCAGTTGATGGTGTATTGTGATTTTAGCTGACTGGTAAGGCAGGGTCAGACGTGTATTTTGGAATTTCTTCCAGGTGTGAAGAAGTGTCCAGGTTGCCGGGCAATGAGGGAAAGCGGAGGGATGCACAGAGGCGTGGTGCACCTATCAATATGGGCTGAAGCACTGGGGTTGAAACGGTATTAGTTTCCAGTTTATCGGGTACACAGTCATCTGATGCAGCTCCCATGTGAACACCACTGGACAGAGAACCCTGGGAATTTGACTTGAATATGGAATCTGGCTGGGCTGAACTCTGGAAACACAGAGTTAAAGATAGTTAATTTGGTTTATTAATCATTCTAGTAAAAAAAAACTGGTCTCCAGCCTGGGAGAAAGGGAGCAGAAAACTGCAGCATGTAAGTAGTTATTTACTAGACACCTTCATCCATTATAATCAAGTGACAGACCCTGGTCACTGTAAGTGTCAATGTAACAGAGAGAGCACCATGAACAAACTGTTCTTCAGTCTCGTTCATTCTTATTCTTTGTGCTGGGCAATAACTGGCAACAGAACTGCCTGTTTTAGTTGTTTTAACGGTTTCTTTAAGATGCACCACCTACCTGCTGAGTTGGCTCTGCAGGAGCTCCAGTCTGGACTCAAGTTCACTGGGTTGATGCTCAAAGAACGGTGGTGAGAATGAGGTCCGGACAGTTAGGGGGCACTGTTCAGTCTGTTCAGTGAAATGAGCTGCCTGGTGGTCAGGCCAGTAATGGTACAATCCAGATGAAGGGGGAGCTTATGTTAGGAGGAGACATTGAATAATAATAATCCAAGCTAGAGTTAGAATAGCTTACAATAACACTGTAAACACATAAGTCTTATTTAGCTACATGCTAGCAACCACATTTTTCAAGAAAAGTAAAAGTTTTAAAAATCACATGGTATGATGTATTTTATGTGAAAGAATAAAACATAAATATTTCTTGAGCTTGTGTTGACCACTGACCTTATTTCAGGCATTTAACCAAAAACAAATAAAAAAAATACACTGATGGAACTGGTAGTGCTAAAATATTAACTCGTTTCTGGGTTTTGGCCTACAGCAATACATCATGCAGCACACTATGGTTTGGCGTCAGGACTGAAATTTAAAATTTTTGTAATGCTGCAACCAACAGACGTCAAGATAAAGTCCAAGACAAAAATGTAACCAATGAATTACATTGTGCACCTTACCACCCAAGTGCGCTATATCCATGCCGGGCTCTCTGCTGACCCCAGAGGCACCACGAGGTGGTATTAGTCTCACAACAGGAGAGGGGTAGTCCAGATTATCTGCATCCAAAGTGTACAGCTCACAGTGGCTGATGGGAGACTTGCTGAGATTTTCACTGGACTGCAATGTAGAGCTTCCACAGCTACACAGCTCCTCCCAGTGCATGTGAGTGGTTAGAGAATGATTGCGACCCAGGGTCGAACACATCCGAGATGGGTACGAGTCGTTCTGGTCCATTCCGTCTTGAATAGCAAGACAAGAGCAATTTTAAGAATTTAATTGACTGCTTTGGCCTGAATTAGGTGATAAACGCATGTCTTTGACATGTTCTCTGTGAATTTAGTCAAAAGTCTGGCTCGAAAAGAAACAAGGTTATATGTGAATTATGGAAAACTGTGAATTGAATTATTCCGAAATATGGTTTCGTTTTATTTTGTTTGCAAGAATTAAAATCTTTTTACTTTAAAATTTTCAAAAATGTGAACTTCTGGACACAACTAAGTCTCAGTAGATCTCAGTTGTGTTTATATTTGTGAGTGTTCCACTCACCTGGCCTGTTGCGCCTGTCTAGTGAGTTTTGGCGGTGTCGCATGCCATTCACATGGTATCCACAGTCCAAATTTTCACTGGGCATCATCTGTTCAGCCTGATTACATATCAGTTAAGACAATGATTACTGTAGATGTACAGAGCATTTGTCTCAATGTTTTAGGGTTGCACCTAATTGCTGTTAATTACACAAGCTGGCATTTGTTATGGTGACTAGAATGCATGATATTCGACAAAACATGTTCCGTTAGTTTTGAAAATAGAGGCATTTTTAGGCATTTAACCAAAAATATGACAGCCTTGCAGCACTCCATGGTTTGGCTTCTGGAATCCGACTTGACATTTTTGTAATGCTGCATCCACACCAATAGATGTCAGTATAAAGTCCAAGATAAGAACAGCATATAAACAACAAACTACAGAGTACACCTTTAGATATCTCTAAGGCCCTGTCCCAAATTGCACCCTAAACCCTTGCGGTCTTCCTCTTAGGTCACACTTTAAATGCTATAATTTAGATGCTATAAAATACCTTTAAAACAAACATTACTACTACATCCTGAAAGTGATTTTATATATATATATATATATATATATAGATATATATATATATATATATATATATATATTTCATCCAAAGTAACATTTCTTATTTTGGTAACACTTTATTTCAAGGTCCAGTTGCTTATTTGCATGTATATTACTAGCATATTGGCTTTTTATTAGTACTTATAGCGCATATTAATGCCTTATTCTGCATGACCATATTTTAGATCCTTAATCCTATACCCCACACCTAAACTTAACAACTATCTTACTAATTATTAATAGGCAGCAATTTAGGGGTTTATTGAGGCAAAAGTCATAGTTAATAGTTAGTTAATAGTGAGAGTTGGTTACTAAAATAAAGTGTGATCCTTATTTTCGTTTAGATTAACTTGATGTACTATAAAATACAAAGAGGGACAAATAAAAGTGAAAATAAATAAATAAAACTATACAGAGATATTTAAAAAAAACTACTAAAAAAATTAAAATTTGAACTAAATTTAAAATGAAAAAAATATATAAAAATAAAAAAGTGATTCAAAATATAAAAGCTATTATAGTATCTCATTAAAATAACTTTAAGGCTAAACTATATATGGTTTAGATGTGGGGTTTGGGTTAGCGGATCTTCGTGCTCATGTTTTTCTAAAAAAAAAAAAAACTTTTTTTTTTAAGAATAAAAGAGACGTCACTTGACTGACATCATTGGTCACATGATAATGTTGACATGTTGGATGTAGCAAGTCTGGATTGTGTTCATGCATAGAACATACTTTAAGTTCTTCAGATTTTAGATGCAGCATATATTAAACTTAGCTATAAACAAATTACTATGGCAAAAAATAAAAAAAACGTACAAAAGTAGAGACCACTAGGGTACGATTTTAAAGTGCCCCTATTATGCCATTTCCAATATTGCCTTTCATGCCGTGTGTAATGTAGCTATATGTGAATGTAAACGATCTGCAAAGTTGTAAAGCTGCAAGTGCACGATAAATAAAGTTATTGTTTCCCAAACTAAAGAATCGACTCTTAACAGCTGAAACGAGTCGTTAATTCGCATCCCACTTCCGTGATGGCTACACGTCACAGGTAACACATTTGCATAATGTGCGCCTATGTTCTCCGTTGGCCTGCCGCGAACAACTTGACCCCGCCCACAAACACGTCATTCAACTGACGACTGCTTCTCTAATCAACGCAGGATTTCAACAAAACGCTTGCTGTTGAAAGATGGAGCAGCATCCTGTTTATTTGGACCAGCTGCTCCACTGAATCACAACCTGTAAGTATGATAAATAATAGATGTTTATATTTTCTATAGAGCGTTCAAACTATTGAAATAGGCGTATCGTTTCCGACACACGCGCTGTCCGCCGTAGACCAATCACAACAGACTAGGCCATCTGACCAATCAGAGCAGAGCAGGCTCACGGAAAGGAGGGGTTTAGAGAGACTGAATCTTTGAACTGCTTCGAACGAATCGTTTGAGAATCGCTGGAAAATGAGGTGATATTAAATGCATATTTGGAGAAAACAAAAGTGTTTTTTGACCTTGCATGCATGTAATCCTATTGTAGGAGACTCCCAAAACAATATTAGGAACCGTAAAAATTGCATAATAGGGGCACTTTAAGAGAATTGTTCAGATTCTCCTCAACTCTGGGTAGGTCACCGACATTAGCTTTTTAGGTATTTTTAGGTCTAAATGTAACTAGTCAGTCTAAAGAAGGATCAGTAGGAATGTTCAGGACAGTGGCACAGAAATGACATATTTGAGCCTTAAGAAAACAAGCTTTATGCAGTTACTTACAGCCAATGAGCATGACACAAATCGAGAAAATCTTCTCCGAGTTAGTGTTTGGAGAGACATTCCCAAAGCCCACGCTGGTCAGACTACTGAAGGTGAAATAGAGTGCAGTGATGTATTTATCCTGAATGGAGGGTCCTGAGCTGGCATCACTGTCGTTGTAATGTTTCCCCAGTTGATCAGCCAGGTTATCCAGCCAACCTGTCTTCATGTAGGGCCTCTCCATATGACCAATGGCATACCACATGCATGCCAACCAATGAGCAATCAGCATGAAGGTGCACATGAGCAAGAAGAGGACTGCAGCTCCATACTCTGAGTATCGATCTAATTTTCTGGCCACCCGGACCAAGCGCAACAGACGGGCTGTCTTCAGCAGACCAATGAGAGTGGCCGTCGTCTGCAAATTGAATGATGGGAGGACAAAGAAAGAATAGCAAACAAGTTTCAGCATGATATGGTCAATTTTTAAATGGATAAACACTGTATCAGACAAATAATGTGTTTAATTGTAAATTGCTTCTTTTTATCACTGGGTTAAAAAAAGAGAGATTTGCAACTTCTCTCACAGCTCTGACTTTCTCTGAGTTTCTCACAATCCAGACTTTTTTTCTCAAAATTCTCATGATGTAAATGTGCAATTCTAAGAAAAAGTCAGAACTGCGAGATGTTAACTCACAATTAAGGAAAAATTCTGAATTGTCAGATAGAAAGATGCAACTACATTTTTATTTTTATTCTGAAAAAAACAGAATTGCGAGATATAAACTCAAAATTGCGAGATGTAAAATCTGAGTTGCAAGAAGAAGAAAAAGATTTGTGAGATAAAAAGTCAAATAAAATTAATAAAAGTATTATTATTATTGAATCCTTTTTTATGCTGAACAGGCTTCTATATTATAATGTCATTTTCTTTTAAAATTATTATTATTGTAATAGTTCCTTAATTTAAAAGGAGTAACAACATAAATTTGCCTAAATAAATCACATTGCAAATTTAGTTGCATTATGTCAACTAAAAAAAAATTGAGAGAGAGTGAATATATATAGAGAGAGATAAAATTAAGACAAATGATAACTATTATTTCTATACATTTCACCAAAATGTGCTAATGCCTTTAGAATAAAAGTTGGCATCATCTATTCAAGTGGTATTTTACACAAACGTAGAAAAGGCACAAAAATGGCACTTGTTTTGTAGAATGATGTTTATTAAAAAATAATCGCTGGTTTCAAGATAAATACTACAAAATGCTTCTTAAAAAGACATATCCCTGGACCGTATTACGGGTATCACAAATGGAACGAACATTCAATAAAAGTTCATTATACCTGTATAAATAATGTTTTTGTGCTACAATTTTAAGAACATTATTAAAGACCATTCTATTAATGTTACTGGAAAAATATCATCACTTTGAGAGTACCTTGCCATAGCATTCTGAGTACTCTCCCTGTTAGCAGGGATTCGCTTTTTAGGTCTAAATATCACTAGCTGAACAGTGTAAAGAAGGGGCAGTTGTTCATTATACCTCATCTGATCCAGACCTGAAGATGAGCAGATCAAATGGAATTGCGGCCACCATGTCGATGAGAAACCAGCCTTTGATATAGTGGATAGCGATGAGCTTGGGATGGGTCACCACCTCATCATTATGATTCACGTATGTCGTCCTGAAGGTAATAACGATGTCTATGATGAACAGAACGTCCACTATCACATCTACTACATTTAAAGGGTTACAGGTGTAACCACAGATGTGTTTCTTCTCCTCCTCCAGCTCATTGAGGAAGAAAGCAGCCGAGTACGGAGTGAAGACGGCTGTGTAGAGCACTAGCAGAAGAATGATCCAGTCCCACATGGCTTTGAAAGGACTGTAGTGCAACATGATCCACTTGTGGACGTCCGGAGACTGGAGCTTGTACTCAGGTAAAACATCGGCACCTAGAGACAGTACCTTTGCATTGAAAGAGAAGATGATTGGTTTTAGCAGGAATTTCTCACTAATTTAATTCACAGGCAGTAAGTCAGATGCTTTTGCTCCAAGCTAAACTAAAAAATAGAAGTGAATGGGACCGGTATAAACATTAAAATACTTACTGTTTCAATAGTACACTGTAAAAAATGATTGTGATTTTAACAGTAAAATACTGTAAAAATGCGACAGTAAAAAAACCTGTTAACTGGTTAACAGTGATTTCCATACTATATTTGGTGAATAAATGTAATTACATTTAATTATGGTTTTTAGAAGTGAAAAAGAAAAAGTCATTGTATAATTTACAGTGACAAACCGTAAATTGACACTCCCAGAATTCCCTGCATGACACTTCATATTTGATGTTTTTTGTTGTTGAAATAACATGTTTCTTCTTAGTTTTTTCTTATTAGTTGTGTACATTAGGGTTTAATCTTACATCTAATGTTGTTAAATTAATGTTTATTGCATTATTTCAGTATCATGTGTGTCACCATGATAGGGTTTAGTGTCTGTGTGAATGACACTGTGCACCTTCTATATATAAATATTGTCCTCCTCAGCTCGTAGAAAATCTGTTTGTGATGAGCTTTGGTTCATCATGTGACTTTCTCATCACCACCAGTTTTTGGTGGTTATCAGTGCATTACAATGGTTCAAAACTGTAGTACTTCAATGTGTTGGTTTATTAACATTACATCAGTTAATGAAATACGGTATTTTATTGTGAATTTAAGTTAAGCCTGTAAAACCGAAAATGTTGCTACCATATATTTTACGGTGAAGTTCTGGCAACCACAGCTGCCGATATTTTACCGTAAATGTCACAGTTTTTTTTTTTTACAGTGTACAGCCACCACAAGACATAAACAATATGAAAGTTAACATGGATAAACACCTTTATCCTTTTCTGTTTAACCGTTTCAAACTTTTTCTGAACTTTTTTAAAAATTAGTTTATTCTAGTTGTTCTACAAACCTAAAGCAAAACAAAAGAGCCCAAGCAAATTTTACAGTGTACAGCCACCACAAGACATAAACAATATGAAAGTTAACATGGATAAACACCTTTATCCTTTTCTGTTTAACCGTTTCAAACTTTTTCTGAACTTTTTTAAAAATTAGTTTATTCTACTTGTTCTACAAACCTAAAGCAAAACAAAAGAGCCCAAGCAAATTTCAACGTTTAAAGAGATAAGTAAGGAAGGGGCCCGAGATTTTATCAATTTTTTTAGAAGCATCAATCTTAGAAAAACGAATCCTTTCAAGCAACCATTTCAGCCAGCCATTTATGAAAACTGGATGGTAAATTAGACTTCCAATCCATCAAGATCACCCTTTTAGCCACACCACCATATCAAACATAAGAGACAATTGCTGAGAATGTGTCAATGCTAATATAGGGTCAGAACATCCAAACAAAGCAAATTCAAGATCTGGACTGATATTTACTCCAAAAACCGTTCAAGTACCACCGAAAAATGTTTCTTCCAAAACTCAGAAATCTCAAAACCAAAAAGTATGTGCATGCGTCTCATCTGAACTCTTGCATCTTATCCTATAGCATTTTATTGAGTCTAGTTTTGGTATAGTGTAAACTATGCAGCAATTTAAACTGTAGAAGTTGTATGGAGCAGGTATGAATTCGCTTCAGTCCCTCTTCCCAAATCTAATTTTCCCATGCTACTTTGAGGCGATCTGAAGACAAAATGAGAAACAAACCGTGTCACCAAATGTTTGGCCATAGGAGATTGACCTAATAGATTATACATATCATGATCCTGAGGCAAATCCTGAAACTCAGTAAAAGAATATTTTACGTAGTGGCGCACCTGTAGATATCGAAAATATCATACATCGCTACACTGACAATGGATTATGGACTTTTTTTGCTCTTGAAATTTCACCTAAATGTGACTGCACTTTAACCCATTAAAAACTAATATTTAAATCTAGACTATGTAACTTTTACTGTTAAAATGACAACAACAAAATTAATGATAGAAAATGAATGATAGAGAGCAAAAGAAACTCATCTTCCAAACCATGTTTTTAATCAAATACACTTTGATAAACCTATAATAATGCAGGAAATTGCATATATGTTACCCACTGATCTATACAGTAATAAAGAAACTTAGGTGGTGTCAGCTTAAATCCATAAAAGTAGCTCCAGCTGTGGGTAGTGTGAAGTTTTTGTCAAAATGAATGAGAAAAATGGACACGTGTACACCAATATCTCGAACCACGTTCATCTGTGCAGAGGAGCAAAGGCTGCTGAGATAAGACTGCTCTGTGCCTGCTCAAAATTCATTGTAAAGACATAATATCGCAAAAAAGCCAGACTAAATTATGCCTGCTCCGTCCCACTTCAGGCCCTAGTATCAAATCATACAACTATAATTTTTGAGTAAAAGCATTTATGCCTTCTCTGAGCAGCATTAAACTGTGTAAAGACATCTAAATGCCACTTTAAATTTAGGCCATGTCCACACGTACATGGGTATTTTTATAAATGGAGTTTTTCTGTTTTTAAAATAATCTCCGTCCACATGAAAACGCAAACGCATGCTATGAAGCGCTGTCAAGAGCATGCCTAACCAACAGGTGGCGATATAATCTCAACCGTAAAGCCATGTTGGCCAATCAAAAGCCTTAAAAAGTCTCCAGTAGGCGGAGATAACAGCGCAGGCGCCGAAGTCACAAGCCAAAAACTCCGGTTTCGCTGTCTACACGATAACACTGCAACCGGAGTTTTTGAAAATCTTCCCCCTGGCAGGCGTTTTCAAAAATGTTCGGGTTCAGTGAACTGTTGCTGTGTTTGCGTGTGGACGAATGGCCTAACCGTGTAGAAAAAGCTGTGGTTTTAAAAATAACCGCATTCGTGTGGACAGGGCCTTAATGCAAGATGCATGGCGTTTTATTTTCTAACCACTAGAGCAGGGTTTCCCAAAGTGGGGTTTGTGAACCCCTGGTGGTTCGTGAGGGAATTGCAGGGGATTCGTGAGTTGGTACATGGAATGCCTACGAGTGTATACCATTAACAAATTAATTAAAAAAAAAAAATTAAGAAATGTTACAGGTTTATACAGATGTGTGATGTAAATGTAAAATCTTAAATGTATAAAAATAATTCTCTTTTTGGGAAACCCTGTGTTAAAAAAAAAACGTGGAACAAATGTCATAATTGTATTGTAAATTACAGTAATATGAATTTTTATAATTTGTTGAGTGTAATAATAACAATAAGCTATGTAAATACTACTGAAACTGTAAAACTGATAAAAATAAATGGTTTTAAAGTTAAACATGCAGATGTGCCATTAAATTATTGAAATATTTACTTAAAATCTTAATACTTCATGTAAATAATTTAGGTCAAATGGGTTCGGCTGACAAAAAAGTTTGAAAAGTCACATATTGTAAAACGATTGCAAAAATGTTTATTTTAAACAGCTTCACCCCATTCACTTTCATTGAAAGTGTCTCACTGTAACCTCAAAATTTTTTTGGAGTATTTTTGGTGTTACAACTGCCGCCAATTAAGCTTAAATTTACCAAACCAAAAATATTCCTCTACAGACTTTTCTTAACTGAAATAGCCAGTGGCAGTTAGTTTACACCACTGACCTTGGTCATTTGGTTGGCTCTATGCTTTGTAAAGCTGCTTTGGGACAATGTTTTGTGAAATGTGATGCACAAATAAATCACATAGAACTGAATAGACATTCACAAAACTCAACATTAACTTCATGTGATGCTTCCTATCTAACAGATGTGTGTGAACGGGTAAAGTGCAAACTTACTACAATCTATGCATGTGTATTGACTTCATATTACTATTGGATAAAGTTCCCCAAAATATAATGGCAGCTTAACCTCAAAAAGAGGAGTTAAATAGTCAGCTGACCAATTGGGAATGTGACGGGTGATGTGATGAGATGCATTCTTTTTGGAAACAGAGAGATGAAAAGAAGTGACGATTAGGGGAAGGTGCTCAGATTTGGGTAGACTGACACATTAAAGTTTCCCTAAATAACCATTAAAACAATATGTGGAGTGTATACACCATTTATCTTCAACTACACAATAATACTCCTCAGTTTTGGACCAGAGGCCACAGGGGTTATAGATTTTTGCATTTGTATTTGTCTCTGTTCTAACGATCTTTCCATGAATGGTTTTTGGTCACATTGTTTTCCATGTGACAACTAATTATTGATTATTCAGATATCAACTTTCAAGTGTTCAGTATGATTTTTAACAACTTTCTGGATGTGAGAGGACCTGAATGTTTTGTATGGCAGAACAATAGTCCGAAGTGTGTACACACACAAAATAAATAAATAGTAAAAATAAGTAAACATTTGCAATTATTTGTGGTTATATTGATATTTTTATACCATTTGTGGTTACATTAACCACAATGTAAACTCTTTAGTGTAATCTGCCAACAGATCTACATTTAAAGGGAGGATTTTTGCATTTGTATTTGTCTCTGTTCTAACGATCTTTCCATGAATGGTTTTTGGTCACATTGTTTTCCATGTGACAACTGATTATTGATTATTCAGATATCAACTTTCAAGTGTTCAGTATGATTTTTAACAACTTTCTGGATGTGAGAGGACCTGAATGTTTTGTATGGCAGAACAATAGTCCGAAGTGTGTACACACACACAAAATAAATAAATAGTAAAAATAAGTAAACATTTGCAATTATTTGTGGTTATATTGATATTTTTATACCATTTGTGGTTACATTAACCACAATGTAAACTCTTTAGTGTAATCTGCCAACAGATCTACATTTAAAGGGATAGTTCACCCAAAAATGAAAATTTGATGTTTATCTGCTTACCCCCAGGGCATCCAAGATGTAGGTGACTTTGTTTCTTCAGTAGAACACAAATTATGATTTTTAAGTCCAGCCATTGCAGTCTATCAGTCGTATAATGCATGGCAATGGTAACAAAATCTATGAGAGTAAAAAAACATGCACAGACAAATTCAAATTAAACCCTGCGGCTCGTGACGACACATTGATGTCCTAAGACACGAAACGATCGGTTTGTGCCAGAAACCAAACAGTATTTATATAATTTTTTACCTCTAATACAACACTATGTATTTTCCTTTTTGGGTGAACTATCCCTTTAAAATGTTAAAGCAAGACCAACAATGGATCTTACCTGCGTGACCTTCTCTGTCACGTTCTGCGTGCGCTCCTTCACCCTTGGAGCAACAAGCTCGATGTTGCAGGCTGCTGTGGAGTGACTGGATCGTCTGGGTCGACGTAGGTTTAAATTGAATGATGGGAATCGGTTTAAAGCTTTCATCCGCTCAGAGTTGCTGGTAGAGTTCCACAAACTAGACTTCAGGTCTTTATGACAAAAGCAAAATAAAATGGATTAGAATTCAGAGCAGCATTTTAATGGATGACAATTTCCAAAATTCTAAATATATTACAGATTAAAGTTTCATTTATAAATATAACATAAATCTTATATAAATATCCATTTACAGTAATATTTTACAGTAATAATTTTTAAATAATGTTTTTTTTAAATATATAAATTATATAGAATTTAATAAATAAATAAACACTAGGCATTTTAAAATGTGCAAGAATAGATAATTCCAGTATGTTTTACTACATAAATCTTATATAAAACTAAATTTAAGTACAAAGCAGGGTTCAAATGAATTAGGTCAGGAGTTCACAGTTGTTTCATTTAAATATCAAATTTGTCTCAGATGTTTATCCAGAATATATAGATCGCACATATATATATGTAGATAGCATGGCTCAGATTATATGAGCTTGGAAGGATTTGATGAAACATCCATTCTCTGACTGGTATCTTTTCAAATCTGAGCACATTTGGATACATTATTATGACCTTCTCATGAGATTAGTAAAAACATCTGAGAAACAGGAGACCTGTTTGCTCTCCTTTTGATCTCATTGCTGTCTAAGAGAAAAAAATATTGAAATGTCCAGTAGACACATAAATACATTTTCTCTTTTGAATGAAAGACCAGACTGCTCCTCTTTATGAAAGAAAATCTGTAATGCTTTGTAATCTGAGTAGTTGCCGTTTGTCCCATATGTGACCCTGGAGCACAAAACCAGTCTTGAGTCGCTGGGGGATATTTGTAGTAATAGCCAAAAATGCATTGTATGGGTCAAAATTATAGATTTTTCTTATATGCCAAAAATCATTATGATATTAAGTAAAGATCATGTTCCATGAAGATATTTTGTACATTTCCTACTGTAAATATGTTAAAACTTAATTTTTGATTAGTAATATGCATTGTTAAGAACTTCATTTGGACATCTTTAAAGGCGATTTTCTCAATAATTAGATTTTTTTGCACCCTCAGATTCCAGATTTTCAAATAGTTGTATCTCAGCCAAATATTGTCCTATCCTAACAAACCATACATCAATGGAAAGCGTATTTATTCAGATGATGTATAATTCTCAAATTTGAAAAATGGACCCTTATGACCGGTTTTGTGGTCCAGGGTCACATTTGGTGTAATTAGGTTATGGGTAACAGGTTACCTTCACGTCGAAAAAAAACAGAACAATAACATCATCCACTCATGAAAGCAAATCCTCTAACGCAAATTCCTGGTATCCAAAATATGAAGTAGCTTCATAGGAACATCCATCCAAAAAAATTTACAATATCACAGACATTATACACCTATAACAGAATCTGTGGTTTGTGAGTTCAGGCAAAAAGAAGTTTGTTTGTTTCTTGTCAATGTCCCATCCTAATGCGATTAAAAATCCTTGTGTAGTCTTGCTCTTAATCAGCTCTCCTGCCGTTCTGATGGAAATCTTTTCCAAAATGAAAGTTTTTGTTGCTTTCATTCACCAATTTTTGTGTCCATTTATTGGAATGACTTTAGCAGATGTTGTATTTTTAGTCACTGTATCAATATTTCTGCAGGTTTCTTGCTGTAGGTTTTCCAAACATACCCAAAATCCGTTGTAAATCCTTTAAAGAAACATTGTCATCACGTGTGGAAGCTCCTTCTACGTCACTGTTGGGGTCTCCATATCTGACCTTAACTGAGAGACACTGCACTGTACGGTATGTTATATAATAAACTCTCTCTTACCATGTAAGTGCTGCATTTTGTCCGTACACACGAAGTTACCCGCCAGGGCAATTCTGTTAGAGGCCGAGCTTCATATGGTACATAATCCAAATGCCCTTCCTGTATAAACACAATGAAATCTCTGATGGGGTCGTCCTCTTTTGACTCGACCCAGAACATTGACAAACGAAGCCTCACGTGGAAAAAAACCCTGACAGTGTGAACCAGACAGATGCAGCAGTGGCCACTCTTAAACAAATCAATTACATCACAATAAATGCGTTCATGAAGGCACAATTATTTCGTATTGACATTTTCAGACTGTTGAACATACAGAGTGGTTTTGTCCTTAGGACCATCCTCTTTTCAGAAAAAAAATATGAATATGCCAATGGGAAAGAGTCAGAGGTGGATCCATTTTCACACCACGTGCCGACTGCACTCAAGGCCTGTACAGCGAATTATGATGAATTATCCATAGGTCAATGACTAAAGACAGGAAGTGGGCTTGATCTATAAAACAGGCTTTTATGAGAACTGACTGACCTAAAGCTATGACATTGGCTATGTACAGGATTATACACACATGTATTACTTTATGCATGGTTATGTCTGATAATGAGGTCTGTCAAATAAGCAGCCCAAACTAAGGCATTAACTTTGACACAAAGTCTGATAACTAAATAGATGGAGGTATTTAAGTTGCATTTAAATCCTGCTGGGAAGTTCGTATTTATGAGTTGGAAAGTCAATGTCAGGTGCGTTCAAGTCCCAAGATGGTGATGTACCTTTTCCATAAAAAATTCTGCATTTTTTTTTTTACTTTACTTCTACAAAATGATGAATAAAAAATAGCTTTGTGTGTGTGTGTGTGTGTGTGTTTTATACAATTCATGAAGGTGCTTTATACTGAATCAATGGTAACACCAATTCTCATTATTAATGCATATTACTAGCATATTGGCTGTTTTTATTACTTATAAAACGCCTTATTCTGCATGACATTTTAGATCCCTTAATCATACCACATACCTGAATTTAACTACCTTACATTAAGCAGCAGCAAATTAGGAGTTTATTGAGGCAAAAGTCATGGTTAATAGTTAGTTAATAGTGAGAATTGGTCCCCAAACTAAAGTGTGACCAATATATCCTATTGTAATTATGCAATACTGTTGTATTTTTTATGTGCAACTTAGTTACTTTTATTGTGAATGAAAATAGTAATAATTTAATTAATTTAAACATATTTGACAGCGATACAGATGCTGCATCTGTTGTGCTCCCTGCATCATCTCACTGACACTCTCCCAACTCTGGACTTTCCCACTAATTACGACATTGTGCTGTTCATGTGTATTCAGTTTGTAAATACGATCTTTACAACATAACCTGAACGCAGTATTAGCATTGGTGGTTTGGTATTTTTCTATTTTTAGATAGGGAGCAATATTCGACCTGATTTTATTTTTTCTAACCTCATCAAATACACAAACCTTTAATATGTCAGTTACTTGAGTTGAATTATTAGAAATAATTTCTACTGAACATTTTGCCCTCACATTTGAAATATCTGAGGCCGTTTTTTTCCATGTCATGTTTGCCCTGAGCCACAATTAATTCCTGACCCTGCTTCTCACTGTTCAATAACAATTTGCATAGAGCAACTATGATTTACTTCCTTTTTTTCAGGTTGTGGGAAAATTGCCTTTCTATCTTTTTATCCAGAACCGATTTTCAAAAATATAGTAAATTATTTCTCAAAATTAATTTGTGATCTAATGAATATCCACTATTCATTTGTGATTTGTGATCTTATTACAAAGATGTTTATGATCACAACATTCAGTATATAACGCTATTCAAAAATATACACATCTGACTAACATATCTTCTTTATTGCCATGATGAAGATATATCAACAAGGTCAATCAAGCCTTTACCATCACACAGAAAATCCAAGTAAAGTCCAATACAATTTGGCCAAGCAGGTCAATTTTTTTCAGTTAAGGCATGTAGATCATTGATTAGTTCATCTATCTGTGAGTTGTTCCATTTGTCAATTGACATTGTGAACTCTAGGTCTGTGCATGGATGTTATCCCATACCCGGACCACATCAGGGCAGTCACTGAGAGCATCCAGCAGGGTGGACGCGGTCTCTAGCTGAGTCTGAGTCAGGAGAGACGGGGTGTGAGAAACAAACTCCAGACCGGCTGAAAGCGTATGAACTCCCAGACCTTCTAGAGCACTCCGCACAGCCTTCATGGACACAATGTCACAGATAAACTGAAAGGGAGAGAAGGGTTAACAATTGAGAGAATTTCTTAAAACTCATTTTACACAGAGATTCTACAAGTAAAATTCTAAAACTTTCGAAAGGGGCAGGGCCACTTTTATTAAAATGGCGGAAGAGAACGGAATGAGATATCTTTGCCAAACTCAAAAAACACTTATGTTAGAAAAAAAATGCTGCGCTTGGCCACTTGGTGGCGCTATAAGAGGGGATAAAAACATAAAAACTATATCTATAACTATGCAACCATTTGTCCAATCAACATGAAAATGGGTATGCCGTGTCTTTGTCTACAAGTGCTACAAGTGTCTGTAAGGACATTTGCGTACCTCAAAAAACATGGCCGCCATTGGCCAATGAAGTTTAAGCACCTATTAGACAAGGTTAACGGAGGTCCCTCGGAATGAAACTCAGTGGACCTGTTTGATTCATGGCCCTAAAGGTCTGTGAGAAATTTCAAAGAAATTTGTCACTGGGGGGGGGGGCGATATCGCATTTTTCAATCATTGAATTAGCTGGTTACAGACTTGTTAAATAATACACAATGGGCCTCATTCATGAAACACGAGCAGAACAAATTTTTGTGTAAATCGTTCGTAAAGCTGTTATGACGTAAATTTTCGGATTCATGAAAGTGTTCGTATTTTCATAATGTTAGTTGGCACGAAATAAATTTACACCTACCTCCCTACCATGTGTAAATGGTGTGTAAAACGTTTGGTGTTCTTTTTGGCAAACTGATGACACTGAATTTTGATGCACTGCCATCATAATATTTTACAAGGTCGTTTTCTCTTTTTTTGTAGCTGGGAGTTTAGCTTTGGGTAAAACGCAGCGCTTGTCACTGTCACTTTTTACCCAGCCGTCCAATCAATGGAGGAGCACCACCAGCTGGCCATTTTCAGAAGAGCGCCTGACATTTTTCAGCTGGCTAAAAACGCTTTGGTGGACACACGTTATTGAATATTTATTGTTAGGCATATGGCCTATTAGTCTTTTTTTCATTTATGGAATATACTGGGGCCAAACCTGAGAAAGTAGACCAGAATATTCCACTGCGTTCCTGGACACGCAATTTGCGTAGCTGTAACTATAGGCGGGGATTATGGTAATTGTGAATGAGCGTGCACGAGTGCATTGGAATTCATCATCATTTGTATGTTTAACTATCAAATCTGAAGTTTACGATGCGTTTGTGAATCCGGAGGAGAGTTTTCGGGAAGGTTCGTTTTACCCGCAAATTTCTCCGAATTTACTCCAATATTTACGAATGTTTCATGAATGAGGCCCAATGTCCTTCTGTGCTTAAATGTCTTAAAGCGCTTGTACCCCCGTAATCGTTGCTTGCAGCTATATTTCCAAGTTGGTATCTCGTAATCCCGGTAATTACGATATGGTGTAAACGCACCTTTATCTCTAAGTTTCATAGTAGTAAATACGACTTGAGAGACCGTTCATGTCTAATTTCAGATTAGGAAACTAGTATTTACAATAATTCCGATATAGCACGTGAAGGCAGCATGACTCCTGTGCTGTGTCTCTGCAGCACGCGCTGTATGGAGCAGAGCAGGCACTTTCAGTTCACAATTAAGCGTCCAACTGAACTAAATGGTTTTTATCTCTATAAAAAAGCAAAACTACAGTGGGGGGGTGGGGGCAAGTAATGCATTCGGTGTATGGCAGAACATCTACTAAAGCCGAATAAAATTAAATACACAGAAAAATATGCACACTACTAATTGTGGCATAAAGTATATTAAGATGTTTTCGTGGTTTTGAAAAGACTCTTCAACATAATAATTGATAATAACAAGAAATGTTTCTTGAGCACCAAATCGGCATATTACAATGATTTCTGAAAGATCATGTGACACTGAAGACTGGAGTAACCAAAATCCTCTTCGATTTAAATTACATTCTTTCGGAGCATGTTTGCCAAGTCAATTCAAATTCACACTTATAAACTGAAAGGCAGAATTTAATACTTAAATTCTAAAAATGTTTTACAATCCTGCTAAGAAAGAGTGCCCAGACCTGTAGTATGGGTCGCTCCTCTTCATCCTCCATCTCCTGCACATCTTCAGCTCCAGCCTCAATGGCCAGCTCTAGAGCTTTCTCAGAGGAGACCCCATCTCTGGATGCTGCCACAACACCTTTTCTGTCAAAGTTCCGGTGTGCTCCTTCACACAATGCCCCACTGTGGACAAACAGAGAAAAGCAGTACACTGAGTTGTGCCTAAATACTATTACTACATCTTAATTTTGATCTGGAGTACAAATCAGTACTAACCCATTTTTCATCAAGATACGTTTGATTTCTTGATGGGACCGTGTGTTGTTGTCAGTAAAAACCTCAATGAGCAACGTGCACCCACCCGGTCCTGTGGCCTCATAAAGATACTGTACTCCTGGCTTTGACTTCTATTACACATAAAAAAATTTTAAAAAGAAGAGTGTTATTATTATTACTAATATCTCATCAATGCACAATTAACAGAATATTGAAGAATTTATAAAGATTGTTTTTTCAGTGACAGTTTATAGTGACCACACCAGTCAAGCTTCAAAGATAAAACGAAAACTTTAAAGGAATAATAAAAAAAAATTCATAAGCCTTCAAAAGTCTTCAGAAGTTATATGTGTGTGTGTTGAAAAGACTGATATCTCAGTCGTGATTAACTGATCTTCTTCACCTCCACTGAGATACAATTTGTATGGACGACATTTATGATATATGATACTCTTATAGAATCTCCGTGTCATTTATGGAGCTGAAAGACATGATGGACACTGCAAATTATTGTTGTATGGAAAAATAAAAACAATGGATGCAGGTGAGTGAATAATGACAGAATTTTAATTTTAAAAACATATATATTCAGTGCCTTGCGAAAGTATTCATGATTTTTTTTTTGTTATGTTGCTGCATTACGTTAAACGTCATTAAAATACTTTTTTCACATCTATCTACACTCCATAGATCATAATGGCAAAGCAAAAAACTGATTTGTGACAACTTTGAAAAAAAAACTAAAATAAGTACATCGCATAAGTACTTAAACTCGGTACTTAGTTGAAGACCCTTTACAGCCTCCAGTCTTTTTGGATATGATGCGACAAGCTTTGCACTTCTGCATTTGCCAATTATCTGAAATTCTTCTCCTCACCTCTTCACCTCCCATGCTCTTATCATGTTGGATGGGGGCCGACAGACATTTTGAAGTTTCTCCAGAAATATTTGGGTTCAAGCCCAAGGACATTCACAGAGTTGTCTATAAGCCACTCTTGCATTGTCTAGTCTTGTTGGAAGGTGAACCTTCTGCCCAGTCCAGGTTCTGAATGCTCTGTCTAGGTTTTCATTAAGACTATTTCTGTGTTGAGCTTTCCTTCTACTCTGACGAGTCCCTGATGCTGGAAAATACCCCCACAGCATGAGGCTGCTACCACCACACTTTACTGTTGGGATGGTACTGCGCAGGTGATGAGCAGTAGCTGTTTTCCTCCATACAAGCTGCTTGGAATTACGGTTCATCAGACCAGAGAATCTAGTTTCTCACAATACGAGAGTCCTTTTTTTTTTTTTTTTTTCAAATTTCAAGTGGGTTTTCATGTGTCTTCACTGAGGAGAGGATTGAGTTTGGCCACACCGCCATAAAGCCCAGATCGGTGGGAGTGTTGCAGTGATGTTTGTCCTTCTGTAGGTTTCTCCCATCTCCATACATGATCATGGAGCTCAACTAGAGTGACCATCAGCTTCTTGGTCACCAGTCTAACCCAGGTTCTTCTCCATCGATTGCTCAGTTTGGCCAGAAACCAGCTCTAGGAAGATCTCCTGGCTGTTCCAAACTTCTTCCATTAAGGATAATGCAGGCTACATGCTTCTGTGAATCCTCAATGCAGCAGAATTTGTTTCTGAAATCTTCGCTAGATCAGTGTCTTGACACAATCCTGTCTCTGCGCTCTACAGAGAGTTCTTTGGCTGTTAGACATTTTTATTGAGAGGTGTGTGCCTTTTCAAATCATACCCATTCAACTGAATTTGCCACAGGTTAACTCCATTCGAAGTGTAGCGATATCTACAAGCGATATTGGAATAAGCAACAACATAATCTGAAAAAAATACTTTCGCAAGGCACCTTATTTATATATATATAGATAGATAGAATTTTCCAGCAAGTCTACTAGATCAATTAATAAAGAAGCATGGTAAAATTATGCAGGAAAATGATAAAATGTTAGGTTGCATAAATGAGTAAACCCTCCTGTTACAATTTTTTTTAAATTTTTGATCAACAGGTAGGCTAAACATGCTGAACCAAAAAATGTAAAGAGGAGTAACATATTTACCATTTAAAGTGTAACAAAGCCCAATAAATCATTCTCGGACATAATGATGACCACAATGGAACCAACTGGGATGACATACTTTAATCAAGGGTGTACACATTTCTGCAACCCTTCATTTAAACTAAATGGCTAATTTAATTATTTTAGAAATATTGTTGACATATTTTTTCTGTTTTTAATATATATATATTTATTAATATTTTTTTCCCAACCCCTGTATGTATTTGTCTGTGTGCGTGTTGTGTGTGTGTGTGTGTGTGTGTGTGTATATAAGCTTTACAATTGTTATTCGTGTAAAAATTCGTTTCATTAGCAGTAGATATGCTATTCATCACTGTAAAATCTGTCTTACGGCTCCTTTTATAGCTCCTTCTATGGTGGCTTTCGGTAGATTTTTGTTCCGACACTGCTCTAGAAGTTGTGCCAAAGCAACATTAAATTCTGGATTGGGTCCTCCCTCTGAAGAAAAAAAAAGCTCAGGGTCATCAGCATACATACACTCAAGAGTACAATGATGGTATCAGATGTATCACATGTTAAATACTTTGTTCTTTTACATGGTACCCAAAGGTAATTTCAAGAACACCATTATTTTACCATGGTACCATAGTTAGTGCCAGTCAAATCTTATGCATTCACCTCTTACTGCAATCCTGATCATCATGGTGTACTTGGCAATTATCCGGGATCGAGCAGCATCTCTGGGAATTTTAATGTCCTTTACTTTGGACCATTTGTTGTGTCCTGCCCAGAGCGCAGGGCTGGAGTGCAGAGCTCTGCTTGACTGAAGGGCTGCAGACACCCTCACTGTCAGTCTGAAAGCCCTCAGAATCATGTCTCCTAACATTGTTCTTCCCTCACCGAACACCTGCGCAGGTATGCAAGTGTCCAAAGCAAATGACTTTGGTCAAATGTTAGAATGTCATGCTGTCTTTGGCTTACAAGCCTCGAGTTTCTTACACGCACGTTCTAACGGGATTACTTCAAGAACGGATTTAGGACCATGATTCAATATGTTCCGTGATCGTTACTGGCGAAAATAGATTTTAAAAATGTCAAATTAACCACAGTTTTTTTTTGTAATTCAGAGTTAATTTGACCCCACTCGAGCCCAAGAGGAAGAAACACTAAAAGCGTCATTACCGGCTAATGCCAAAATAAAAGTCCTTAGGCGCGATCATAGCTTGTATAAAAAGGCGCGATCCTATGGATCGTTCTAAAATGTTTGATCGTTCTGAGGTTTTGAATTTATATTGAATTATTTTTATGTACATATTTTTAAGTAATATATTTCAGTCTACATCCTACAAAATGTTAAAAATGTATATACAGCCTAATATAATATAATGTAATATAATATAGTATAATATAATATAGACACAGTTATATTAGCACAACATATAAGCACAATTGGATAATATTATTATATTTGTAATTTATTACTTGATTACAAATTATGAATTCTGTAAAAATTGTGAATCGATTAAGAATTGTGTTCCAGGGTTGTATTAATACAGTATATGTACATACATACATATATACATATATATATATATATATATATATATATATATATATATATATATATATATATATATATATACACACACACACACACACACACACACA